CGGGCGAGGTGGCGGCCGCCTGTAGTCCCAGCTACTCGGGAGGCTGAGGCAGGAGAATGGCGTGAACCCGGGAGGCGGAGCTTGCAGTGAGCTGAGATCAGGCCACTGCACTCCAGCCCGGGCGACAGAGCGAGACTCCATCTCAAAAAAAAAAAAAAGATAGAAATGCAGAATAAGCATTTAGAAACTTTTAGAACAATTTGACATTACTGTGACACTTTTGTTGTAGTTTATAAAAGTATTGGTCTGCAGTAGATTGGCAGTTTAAAAGACTGGTCCTGACCATGGATAATTTGAGATGCACTGGAAATGTGTGAGTTTTCAAACTGCCTAGGTTCAAATCCTTACTCCATTCCTTACAACTGTGTGACAGTGGGCCAACTGTTAGCCTAAGACTCAGTTTCTGTTCCCAGAATGGGGATAGCACCTCCCTCAGGGTTATGTGAAGATAAAGTGAGATAACTTGTTTACTCAAATATTTGTTCATTATCTGCTATGTAGGATACTGTTCTGGATGATGAAAACAGTAGTGAACAAGACAGAGTCTCTGTGCTCATAGCATATTACAGTAAATCCTAGTGAGGAAGATAAATAGTATACCAGTAGATATATAATATCTCATCAGGTAACAACTGAAGAAAAATAAAACTAGGTCAAAGGTATGGAGAGTGATGGGGATTGCTATTTTAGATAAAGTAGTGAGGGGAAACTCTTTTGAAGATACAGCATTTGAACCACGACCTTAATGAAATGGCAAACCATGTGAACACTCGGTGAATGGCTTCTCAGGCACAAGGAATAGGAAGTAAAATGAGTTTAGAGAGTTAAGCAGAGTAGAATAATTAAATATGTACAATTTTTTTTGATATTAATCATCTTATTTCTCATTAGTCGTTCTCTTCATTTGTTGCAGTATTTTTTTTTTTTTTTTAACATTAATTAATTTTTTTTTGAGGTGGAATCTCACTCTTGCCCAGGCAGGAGTCCAGTTGTGCCATTGCAGCTCACTGCAACCTCCGCCTCCCGGGTTCACGCCATTCTCCTGCCTCAGCCTCCCGAGTAGCTGGTCTCTATCTCCTGACCTCTATCTCCTGACCTCGTGATCTGCCCGCCTCAGCCTCCCAAAGTGCTGGGATTACAGGCGTGAGCCACGGCATGTAGCCTGTCAAGATATTTTTCTTTTATCCCAAACTGCTTTGTTCTAACTTACCTTTTTGTTGTTCTTGAAAAGCATATCGAATTTAGAGTTTTATTAGGTCCAACAATAAAATTATGCTCATATTTTTCTTTTTAAAGAGACAGGAGGCAGATCATAATAGACCATGAGGAATTAAGATTTTTGCTTTTTTGAACGTACTAGGAAACGAGGGTTTTGAGAAAATGCTCAGCAGAGCTTGGCACGGAGTAGAAGTAGAGTAATGTTAACAATAAAGACTAAAATTAAAATGTTATGAAAATCATCATTAGTTATTTTCTGCCAGATTCTTAAAGTAGATATTTTGATCTGTTGAGATATTTTGAGTTATTTCTCATAGGCTTAGTTTAATTATAAGTTGTGACTTACTACAAATTAGTATACCCCCCCGCCTTTTTTTTTTTTTTTTTTGTCAGTGATAACCTGAGGGCCAGCAAGAAAGTTTTAACTGTTAGGAGAACTCAATTTAACATAAAATTTAAACAGTAGGTGAAAGCAAATATTGCAGTCGCAATCTTCAGAGAGTCATTTAATAATTTGGGAGTCGTGACAAAGATTCTTTGGTTAACCAACCTTTAGGCAAGCAAGCCCTTAAACCTTCTCCTAGGCCTAGCTGTGTAAAATCCAATTTTAGCACGAACCCTGTAAAACCAGTTTAGCAAGAACTCTTCCACAATGTAGACCATTCCCAGGTGATGTCTGATCACCCTGGCTTGTCTTCAGCAAGAATCCTGTTAGGGTTTAGCCAGAGTCTCCCTTTCTCTGGATGTTATTTTTTAGTCATTTCACATCCACTGAATGGGATGAAAGCAAACCCACCTTGCTCCTTGGCTATACTTGCCCTTGCTGTTTCCCTACTGTCTCTCCCTCACTGAGTTGAGCCCAGTCTCTCTCCCCAACTGCAACATCACATTGCCATGGTTCCTATATCTATTGAGATGATCCTGAATAACGTCTGCCTTACCATGCTTTAACAAGTATCACTGAGTAATTTTTCATTTAACAGTTATGGTGCTGTGACTCCGATAGGATCAGATTCATCATTGGACCCCCAGACCTCTCACCCAGGACCCCAAGTGTGCACCTTTGAAGCCATTGTCTTCACTCCTGACTGATAGATCGGGGATCCAATGGTGAGTCAGACTATGAACCATTGCTCCGGACAAACATCCGTTGAAGCTGGTAAGGAAAGATTTCGATTCTCAAGATTGTGAATATATTCTCTGGAGTTGGGCTAGAGGCCAGGCTTCTTTTGAAAGGTACCTCCTGGGCTTGAAGGTCTTCCTGGCTCTCTTTCCTGAGTGG